TTGGCTTTTTTGGGGGAGGGGTAGGCTCACAGGTTTCGTGGCCCAACATTAGGGAAACCTGTGACTGTCATTGAACAACCAATCAAGTCCAACGGGAAACCAATGATCCTTGTGACTCTCTGACAAAACCCAAAGCTTCGCGCGAAGGGAGTGGCCCCCTCCTCCTCCGCCATTACCTCTTTCTTTGTTGCTGCTTTTTGTTTCTCTCTCTCTCTCTCTCGCTCTGATTCTCTCTCTCTCTCTCTCTTCTCTCTCTCTCTCTCTCTCCCTCTCTCTTTCTTCTTTGAGCAATACAAAGAATTAGAAAACGGTAGGAATCAGCAGAATTCACTAGGAGTCACAAGGAATCGATAGGAATCAACAGGAATCAATAGGAATCACTAGAAATCAACAAACAACAATTCGAACGATTAGGAATCACTAGAAATCAATCGGAATCAATAAGAATCAATAGGAATCAATCGGAATCGATCGGAATATATGGGAACCGATTGGAATCGATAGGAGTCGATAGGAAATACTATGAAGCAATAGGAACCACTAAGAATCAATACGAGTCAATAGGAAGCAATAGGAACTAATTAGAATTAGTAGGATCCAATAGGAATCAACATCAACCACTAATAACCCTTAGAAATCACTTGGGATCAATATGGATCACTTGTATTTAACAGGAAACAATCGGAATCGACAGGAATCAATAATAATTATTCGGAGTCTATGGGATTCAATGAAAATCACTAGGAATCATAACAATCAAACCCAACAGGAGATAATAATCCGTGTGACTCTCCCAAAGTACCAAGATCATCACAATCGAAAGGAACACACCATGGACGAGGATAAGAAACGATAGGTTGACGTGGGTCCCTGCGCGGGCTTACCATACATACATACATACTTACTTACTTATATACATATATATATATATATATGTTTGTGTATATATATACACATACAATATTCGAGGCAGAAACAGATTTCGCACGACACGCCACGCATGCAGGTGGACTGTCCACAGCGGGGGCACCGTCCTGGGCCGAACGGACAAAAACGATGGTGCAAGTGTGCGCACACGGAATGGCAACTGGAGGGTGCGCTGGTGGAGCTACGGCCACGGAAGCACTTGCCGGTCACACTCCGACACGACGTCCAGAAGCCAAATGCAGTCTAGCTATCAAAGACACATGGTTCCGATGATGCTGATGATGACGACGACAGTAAAGTAATTATTGTTCTCGAACACCACCTGGCCGCTTTCAATGTCTGTTTTTCTTGCACACTGGCTGCAGACAAGGGGGCCTGCCTGAACGAGGTCCAAAGGCGGCGAACCAAAACTCTCTTGCAACAGCGGTGCGCAAATGATGGCTGGGCGACACACTGGGACGTCGGCAATAACAATCAACGCAAACTCGTATCTGCCGACGCGGTCTTCTGTCGAACAACTATCCAGTGGAAGGCCCGCAAAGCAGAAAGCAAGCCACGAGCCAATCTGAGAACGTGTCATGGCGCGCGCGCTGAATTATCGATACTCGCGTCTACCGGATGAACATCGGAACGGTGACAAGAGCATCATGCAATGGCAATAGCTCAACTGCACGCCTTCTCGTGTGGGCCGGACTGGGAACTCTCCCTGCGATGAGACGCGTCGTATGCATACTTGGCATCAGCAGCAATCGTGCCCAGATGCGCAAACACGCCCTGATCATTGCTCGCAATAACGAGTGTGCCGACAAGACCCGCTAGGCATGGACGTGAGCGCACGAGCCCCTCTTTTGCCCCTTAGCTCCTGTGTCAGCAGTCGAGCGGCTGAGGGCCACGAGTGCGCGCGCTGCGCTCTGCGAGCGCACCAAATTCGGAAGCATGTCGCTCGGCATGCCCCTCCGCCGCGTTCCTCCTCTCCTCCTTTTTGTCTCTTTCTCCTCCTCCTCCTCCTCCTCCTCCTCCTCCTCCTCCTCTGCCCGTGCTCTTCCCAGGACGTGGGCTCTGGAGCGGGCAGGGAAGCAGGCGGAATAGGCAGGCGCACCTGCAGGCCGATCGCCGCCTTGTTGCCCCATGCCTAGCTGGCAGGCGGAGGCAACGGAGGAGGGAGGGGGAGGACGAGGAGGAGGAGGAGGAGGAGGAGGGCGAAGTGGGGGGGGGGATTCAGGAGCAGGAGGATCCAGATTCAGAAGCCAATGGAGACCAGGTCGAACCTGGGCACAAGCCATACGTGTCACATCTGGGGGCAGCTGCCTCCGCTCGTGGGGGAAGGCCCCTGGACAGACGGGGCAACATCGTCTTCCCAGCTTCAGTGGGAGGCCGATCAGTGGCCTTTCACGGATGAGCAAGACTGTGTGCATTCAAGGTGGCGTGGGCGCCGCACCTGTCACAAGAAATAACCCCTCGAAGCACCTGAAGCCTGTGTCTGGCAGAACACCTGGGGCACAAAGGGTGTCCGAAGGGGTCAGCAGCAGTGTGCGCCCAGACCCGAGACGGGGTCCAGGGCAGAGAGAGCGCGCTTGACCACGTGGACAGAGAACTTACGATCGCAGATCAGGCAACGGAGCGCACAACCAGCCTTGACAGGCTCAAAGGAGGAGGACGACGACGAGTCGGAGGATGCGGAATGGGAGAATCTGGGGGGGAGGAAGGGAGGGGGCGGAGGAGGGGAGGAGGAGGAGCAGGAGGAGGAGGAGGAGGGAGGAGGAGGAGGGGGGAGGGAGGGGAAGGAGAAGGACGGGGAGGAGGAGGAGGAGGAGGAGGAGGAGGAGGAGGAGGAGGAGGAGGAGGAGGAGGGGAGGAGGAGGAGGAGGAGGAGAGGAGGGAGGAGGAGGGAGGAGGGGGAGGAGAGGAGGAGAAGGAGGAGGCGGAGAGGGAGGAGGAAGGAGGAGGAGGATGAGGAGGAGGAGGAGGAAGGAGGAGGAGGAGGAGAGGAGGAGGAGGAGGGGGGGAGGAGGAGGAGGCGAAGGGGAACGGGTCGAGGAGGCGTGCGGCCGAGCCCGCCGGCAAAACACGACGCGGGGGCCAGCCTGAACAACCTCCCTGTGCACAGCAAGCAGCCCATCCAAGGTCGCAGAGGTGAGTCAGTCGATATACCCTGTCGGAGGAGGAGGAGGGGGAGGAGGAGGAGGAGGAGGAGGAGGAGGAGGAGGAGGAGGAGGAGGTTGGAGCACCTGGGGGTCGGAGGAGGAGGAGGAATGTGCAGGAATGTGCAAAATGGCGACGGCAGAAGTCGCGAAACACCAGTCGCAGAAGTCCTCCTCCTCCTCCTCGGAGGAGGAGGAGGGCCAGTACGCTACGGCGCGGCGGTTCGTCGACCACGGCGGCTGGATGCCTCGACAGCCTCGCGTGGTCACAAATGCCGGCCTCCGGACATGGACAAGGGACGAGCTGCGTGGGCAGCCGACCGCCGAGGGATATGGAAAGAGCTGGGTGCTGATGCGGACATGTGTCCTGCATGAGAAAACTGGCCGACACGCGAAGCACCAACTCCGTGACATTGAGATCTTGCTGATGCCAGGGAGGAGGAGGAGGAGGAGGAGGAGGAGGAGGAGGAGGAGGAAAACGTTTGGATTGGCTTTCGCCTGGCGACACGCACCAGGTGGCTGAAAAGCAGAAAGAGAAAGAGAGAACATAAACGATCTGCACACCCGATTTGCACACCCGATCTGCACACCCGCGGCGGAGAGAGGCCTGGGTGCAGCACGTTTTGGCATGCGTGCCTCCGGGTCCCTCCAGGAAGGGCGTCGCGGCAGGGCACCCCCGACCGCGACCCAGAGCGTGAACCGTGGAGCGCGTTGCCAGGCACCCTCACGGGACGCAGAAGGACGGCCAGCCGCTGCTGCGCTGGCGGTGAGCGTCGAGTCTCGCTTGGATGACCTCGTGGTGGAGGCCCCAGAGGGGAAGAGGCGGACGAGCAGACGCCGCGCGAAGGGCGTCCCAGGCGGACTGGTCTGGCTGGAACCCTGCGAGGAGGGGGGGGGGCCGCCTGGGCTCCTGGGCGCGACGTGCAGGGCAGTTTCCAAGACATGGGATGTTTAAACAATACGGGATTCTTGATACATGATTAATCTGGGAACGAGTTCATGCATGAACCCATCGTTGCTTTCAATACCAAGTCCCTGCATTTGTAATACATGATCCGCACGCGGAGCATGCATTAAAAACGGCGCTGTAGAGCGGATGTCGGTCTCGCGGGCGGTCCGCCAGTCCGCCGCGCAGGAGCGCGGGCGAGGCTCTGCCGCGCTGGCCAGGGGTGGCCGGCGCGGCAGCCGCGGGCGGAGGGCTCGGGCCCTCGGAGGGTGGCCCGCGCGGGGGCGAGGAGTGCCCTTGTTAGGGGGCAAACAAGCCTACCTCGCTTTTGACCACCCTCGCTTCCAAGAGATACCAAGCGATGCCAAACTACGGCCTGTACTGGTCAGGCCGCTTGACGAGGAGGCGCGTGGTATGACTCGGTTTTGCCTGGAAGCGAAAGCGGGGCAGGTAATTCACGCTCTGACTTGTGAAAGACGGGGGCACAGCGCCAATGCGAAAATGAGGCCCGCGCTGCCGCGGGAGCCCCGTCTTGAAGCACCGTAAGCCGTCGGACTGCAAGCAACCACACGAGAAGAACAACGTTCGAAATCCTGTGGGCAAGAAAAAATACGGGGAGAGGGCCGGGGATCTTCCACACAGAATCAGGGGAGCGGAGAATAGAATTCATACTGTGTAATTGTGGAGGGAGGGAGGATGGGAGGGAGGCTAGGAGGCTTAGAGGGAAAGGGAGAAGAGGGACAGGACGGGAAGCATGGCTGTGGATGAGACAGCAGGGAGTGGGGAGGAGAGGGAGGAGGAGGAGGAGGAGGAGGAGGAGGAGGAGGAGGAGGAGGAGGAGGAGGAGGAGGAGGACACCGCGGCCGCCGACGAGAACAAGGAGGATACAGACGAAGAAAGGCGATGGGAGAAGGGGGGCAAGGAGGAAACGCAATGTTCCGCAACCGGAGAGCGACGGTGATGACGACGAGGAGGGCGAGGACCTTTTCCAGGTCAGCGCCATCGTGCGAAGTCCCTAGCGCCAACAGCAGAATACTGAGCTGGAAGCGATGCCGATCCAGTATGACAGGACTAAAGGGGGGAGGACTTGGCCCACCGCGCGCGGATCAGACGCTCGCCCCGCACCGCTGGGCCCGCACTTCTCATCGCCGTCTGGCCGCGCCCCTCAGACCTGCGACTTCAGCGGGATGTCGAACGTGTCGCCAAACTCGTTCTGCGGTGGGCCGCCCTGGACGAACGAGTGCATGCTGTCATACATGTGCTGCTTCTTCTCGACCGAGGTCAGCATCAGCAGCGCCTGGCGCGCCTTCTCGTTCTCGGCGGCCGTCTTCACCCCAGACTGGCCGAACGGCGACAGCGGCTCGTCGGCGATGGAGATTGTTTTCCTCGGGTTCGGGACCCTCCCCGTCGGCGTGTACACCCAAGTGCCTTCATGAGTGCGTTGAGTGCGTTGAGAGCGTTGGGTGCGTTGGTGCTGGTCCTCGGAGCTCTCGTCGACGGCGGACTCGATTTGAATGCCGGCAGCCCAGCTGGGGAGCACCAGCGCCAGCAGAGCGGCCCTGGCCAAGCGGCACGCCATCCTGCCCTCAGATGTTCAGTACGCACACGGAAGCGCCCCGCGTGGGCGCACTGGTCAGCCCTGTTGCCAATGCGACTACGGACCAGGAGGCGGAGAAGGGTACAGTCGGGGCGTTGACCTAAGGAACCCTAAATAAGGAACGAGGCCCCTATTTTCCATAAGTTAAACTTCGATTTCATATCGAAAACCTAAGGAAAACCTGAGGCAAGCTGCGAAACAATTAAGGAACACGGAGCCCCTCCCCAACGCAAAGGGTTCCTTCTTCAGCGCCCCAACTGTGCGGCAACAGAGGAGAGGGAACAGAGCGGGAGGAATGGAGGGCGGGAGGAGACAGATGAGCTGAGTGGAGTGGACCTGGATCGAGGATTCCTGTGATCATCAGGGGTGGGAGCCTGCCAGCCCGGGAGGCTGGCACGCATGCTGGCTCCCGCTCGAGCGTCATGTACCTTTTCCGGCAGATCATCGAAGGTCATGTGCTCGAAGTGATCCAGCAAGGCTACAGTGCCTCGGACTCGGCACTCCTTGTCTACCGCCAGCCCTTCGGCGTGTGGAAGACGCTGTGGGGTCGCCGTCGTCGTCGTCGTCGTCGCCGCCGCCGCCGCCGTCGTCGTCGTCGTCGTCGTCGTCCTCGTCGTCGTCGTCCTCGTCGCCGCCGCCGCCGTCGTAGTCGTCGTCGTCGTCGTCGTCATCGCCGTCGTCCTCGCCGTCGTGCTCCTCGTCGTCAGTCCCGAGGAAACCGAGGAACAAGGAAGAGGAACGTCACAGCTTTAAGTCGAAAGGAAGCCCCTTCCCTTCATCCCTTCCCTGCCGGGGTGGGGTGGGGCAGGGGAGAGGAGCCCTGTGCGGGGCCCCGGGTTCGAATGCCGCCGTCGCGGGGGGCGGGGGGATCCCGGGTCAGGATGCCGGCCCCCCGGGGTCCTGGGGGGTGGTCGCCAGCGGGGGTCCCGGGGGAGGTTCCGCCTTCACGGTCGGCTGCACGGGCCGTAAAGCCTTCGCAATACCGCTCCTTGTCGGCAACTTTGAAGGGGCCCTGGGACACACAGATAAATTCACACGAATAAAAGGATTCCCCATAGAATCCCATATTTTCTGGGTCTCTGTCTTCCCCCCCACTTCCCATATTTTCCCATATTTTCTGGGGGATCGACGATTAATTGTGTCTGTGTGTTTTTTCTCCTCCTGAAACTTGCTGGTGTTGCCGAATGCCTCGCGGAGTGCTCACCTGGAGCAGCACTGCAAATGGCATGTGATGTCTGGCGGGTAGGAAACCCCATGGGCGGAAAACGTTCGCTTCGCTGTCAGGGCACGCAGGAGAAGGGAGGAGGAGGAGGAGGAGGAGGAGGAGGAGGAGGAGGAGGAGGAGGAGGAGGAGGA